TTCAAGTTTAACATTTAAAATTAATGTGTTTAAAGTTCCTTATTTGGGTAGTTTAAACAATTTTAAATGAAAAAAAAAAAGATAAGTTGATATTTGAAACAAAAATAAAAAATTGGGAGTGATGTGTAAACTTCTATTTTTTTAATTGATGGGAAACAAAAATGAGAGATAAAAAGGCATAAAGACATCAATAATAAAAATATGAGAAATTTGGATTAATAAATTTATATGAGTGTCTTTGGGTTAATGAGAATTTGAATGTGATCAAATCTCCTTTTGTGGAACACAAAAATTGAAGTTCCAAATCCAAATTTATCTATTTCTTATTATATTTCTTCTACAATTTCAACTTTTTTTTATACCATATTCAATTGAAATTTTAGTCACTTCAAACAGTTCATCTTGTGTTTTTATTATTGATATCTCTATATCTTCTTGTCTCTATTTCTTGTCCATCAATTAAAAAATAGAAGTTAACATATTACTTTCAATTTTTCATTTTTCTTTAAAATATCAACTTATCTCTTTTTTTTATTTGAAACTTTTTTAATTATCCAAATAAAGAATTTTAAACATATGAATTTTAAATGTCAGATTCAAAATGTAACATTTTAAATATAAAATTTATATCCAACTCTACATAGATAACAATTACGTATGGTGAAAATTTACATTAGTCTGAGTAGAAGGTGATAATATTTCAAGATTTTTCAAGATACCAACCAATATAATAAAAAAAAATAAAGAGAAATTGACTATTATTCACATAAAGGAGAAAGAAAAGAGAAGGCTGTCAACTTGTTACATCAATTTTCTTTCTTAATAAAGTATAAAACTCAACTTGATTGAAACCGAGTTTCATTCTTTTATCTTAAAAAAATTGAAACTCAATTTGTGTCAAATTGATATCTAAATTTATAATATATGAAAAAAAATACTTTTTAAAGTAAAACGCTTGAGTAAATTTTTTTTTTTTTTTGGGTAGAGTTGCAGTCAAATTGCCGGCCATGACGGCAGGAAAAAAGTCAAAATTAAATTCTCAAACGTTAAACCTAAAGCTTTAACCGTTTAACGAGGATACAGGAGACTTGGAGTGAGAATTTAATTTTGTTTAGACTTCAGAGGCACAAAGAATAGGTGCTATCATTTCAATTTCAAATTCCAAATACATCTATTCTTAAGTTAATAGATTAATAAAATGGTATTGTAATGAATGAAAGGTGAATTAGAACATGCGGGGAATGGGGAGAGACTTTTGGTGAGGGAATATTTAATCATTCCAATTGAAAAGATTAAATAAATCTTAGATTTCATGTAAAAACTAAATTTTAAATTAATAAAAATGACTTGAAATAAAAAAATTATTTTAATTAAAAAAACTTTAACAATATTTATTATTATTGACATTGTTCCATTTTTTTATATGATATTTTAAGATATATTATTAAAAATATTTTAATTTATTTGTAATTGGTTCAACCACAATTTGATCACAATTCAACTATTGAATCATACATCAATACTTTAACTGATTCATTGACATGTTCGATTTTCATAACATTAACTATTGTACCTCTCCCTTTTCTCACTTCTAAGTTCTAACATAGTTATTTCTTTTTAGTTTATAAGATATTTTTAAAAATTATTTGATATTTTAAAATATAAAATATTTTAACAGAAAATAAGATTTCTTTAATTACATTGTTCTAATATTATATGTTTTTATTATATATTTTCTCTTTCTTTATTTAATATTTTACAAATAAAATTATGTAAAATGCAGGGTACTTTTAAAATTTTATATTCATTTTAAAAAAAATTATAAAGTGTATTTAATGAATTTTATTTGTATGCATAATTTTGTCAAAAAAAATCTTGTAAATTGAGCCAGGGAAAGTATTATGTTTGTTGTTCTCTCTAATTCTACTTATAAATGGCTTTTAATATATTTTAATGGAATTAGAAAATTCTTAAAACTTATTAAATTTCTTTAAAAATTTAATAAGTTTTCATCTTTATCCTTGTTAAATATATATAATTTAATAATATATTTTTTTCATCAATATTTAATGGGAGTAAAAGGAAAACTATGTGATAAAAAATAATGACATGCCTTATAAACAAAACAAAAAAAAAATCCTATTTCTAGGTAATAAATGGAACCAAAGGAAATATCCAGTATAGGTACTCCATTTAATACTTGTTATAAAATATTTCTAAACACCTCACTAAAAGTAAAAAGAGATAGTTAAGTTATTAACTGTGTCTAAAAATAAAATAAATTTTTTAATTACTCATATTTAAATAAAATTTTTTATTGAATTCATTTTTTATTTAATAACTTTAAATAGCAATAATATTAAAAAAATTAATTAGCACCCCATCATATAACTTATAATAAAGTACACTCATCTTTTTTAGAAGTTTAGGCGCCTTTGGAGAAAAAAAATGTCTTTCATATTTCGCCTCTAATAAATGGATGTGGTATTGAATCATTAGACAATAAATGGATAGTTGAATAGATAATTATAATGAGTACTTTTATAAGGCTCAAATATATAAAAAAAATTCTAAATTTTAAGGCCGTTATATAGAATACTCTCACATTCAAAAATTTAAAATTAACATTTTTGACCTTATCTTTTATTTTTACCACAAACTCTCCTACTATCATTGCTTAATTATCTTAATAGTAGAAGTTGTGATGTCATATTAACAAAATATGTAAGAACTTAAGTGGTATCCAATAATTTTATAAAAATTTTATTCATATTTTTATTATTATTAACTTGTATTAAATGTCAAATAAACTAGTATGTATTTTTTCTTAATATGACATTATAACTTTTAGGCTAAATTATAATTTTATTTTTTTTAATTTTTGTATAAAGTTTTAATTTAATCCTTTAATTTTGTAAAGTATTTTTTTAATCCTTTAACCTTAATATCATTAGTTTTAAATAATTATTTTTTGTGTCAATCATTATTATTTTAAAAAATTAAACTTAATATGTCAATATTTGAGAATATTTTATCAATATTTAAAAATTTAATGTAAAAATTTGTTGATATAAAATAATTTTTTATAAGTTTAAGAATATTAACTACCATTCTTAAAAATTATGAAGTTAGTTAACTTAGCCTTATAATTAGAATCAAATAAAGTACTCCTTATAGTTCTTTATATAAGGTAAACTTAATTAATTTTACTGTTGTTAAGAAAGGGTAGTTGCATTATTAAAATTGTTAAAAAAAATAATTTTTTATTTTTGTCTTTATTTGTACTTACTCTCTTAGTTCTTATTTATAAGAAGGAAAGAGAAGAATTTTTTTATTTTATTGATAAATCACATCCTTATTTTTTTATTATAATTTTTTTCTTTTACCATTCATTAAATATTGATAAAAAAAAGTATGTTATTAAATGATATATATATATATATATATTTAATAAGAATAAAGTTAAAACTTATTAAAATTTTAAAAAAACTATTGAGTTTTAAGATTTTTTTTTTGGTTCAAGTAAAATATTTTAAAAGTAATTTATACATTGAACCAGAGGAGTAACAATCATAATATATTACTCCTTTCATTTAAAGATATAAAATATTTTTTTAAAATTAAATATTAAAAAATATAAAATATTTTGAGTCTTTCGAGATGTAATATATTTATTATCTTTTTTTAAAAAATATTTTTATTAATAATGACTTTTATATTTATCTTAAAGTGTTTAATAAAATAAATATAAAAAAATATAATTAATTTGAAAGTAAGTAATTATTTTATTAAGAGTACCATTTAATTAAAAATATTTTATATTTTTTAACGAAAAAATATTATTTTAAGAATTAAATCATAATAAATAAAAAATAAAATTAAAAAATACATATTTTTATTATTTACAATATCAATCTTCTTAAAGATGATTTTGTTTGAGGTATTGTGTATTAAAATGGCAATTCTTTTAGTAAATATTTAAACTTTGCTTTGTCGCGCTGTGAAGGATTGAAAATGATGTAACGTAACAAACTATTGAAACTTGAAACCATTATGATGCTCTTCCTCCATCACGCGATTTCCCTGCACACTCCATTCAATGCACGTTTTTCTCCCCATTTCTTCTGCGTGTGGGCCCCCTATCCCCCTTCCCTATATTCTCCGACACCAATATTCCATTCAAGAAAATTTAATTTCAAATTAACATTTTATATCGGCAACCATAGCTACGAACATTTTATATCTCAACTTTCTAAAGTTGAATTCCTCAACAAACACGTGGATCTGTATGCGACAGCAAGCTAATATTTTATTTTAAATGTAAAATTAGACACACACTACGGACTCCAAACATGATAAATATTTGCATAGATTGGTATGTCATATTATTTATATTTTATTCAATTAAAATAATTTAAATAATTTAAATAAAATTTATGTGATATTTTTTCATTAATTTTATTGTTATAACAAAATATCCATTTTATTTCTGATCTTTTATCTCTCTCTACTATTCTTATAACATGGATCCAAGTTTAGAATGCTTACGTATACACGGTTACTTGTTATTTATTAACAATATTTTCACATCTGTAGCAAGATTTAAGCCCTACCATTTTTAATTGTGAATCAAATCTTTAACAACGAAATTAACATTTGTTAGTTGCACTCATATTTCCTCATTCCCTTTAACTCCAGTCTGGAGATGGGCCCATAATCAACCCATTTGATGATAATGGCAATTACTTTAAAGAAAGTGTATTTGAATTTCTTCATTATAAAGAACCAATGTTCGAATTAATAGAGAATTATCTCTAATACAATGAAGCCTTTGCCCATTTAAAAAAAAAAAAAAAACACGCACGCGTGCACACATTTGATTTTTTTTTCCTACCAAAAACCATAATTCTGATGGAAGTAAATTATTTCCTCCTTTCATCAAAATTATGATAATATTTTAACTGCTTCCAATCTAAAATGATCCATGTGCCAAAACCAAATAAAGAAATGACTTCAACTTTCAATATAATCTCATATCTCGTCAAAGAGTCCTATTCAGTCGGCCAAGACAGTGACAAAATATGTGAGAATAATTGTACCCAAAAAGATCATTCCACCAGCCAACCAAACCAAACTAGTCTCCATGCAATGTCACACAAACCCTACCTCCATGTCTTCTATACCCATTTGAAGACACAACCCTATCATCTGTAACTTATTGACCATAATCTATATAACTATAGTACCATTAGGCTTAGAACCAGAGTTCCCTACAGTATTCACTATTCACCAAACCCTCAATGTCAGATAATAACAAGTGAAGACGACTTGGTGATGAATCCATGGAAGTTCACTCAGGCAGATTATCATTATCAGTGACATCGCTGGTGTTCTGGTTCTGTTTGGCTGAAGTTTCTTTGCATACTGTGGCTGGGTATTTGATAGCATTGAGTTCAACTTTTCTGAGAGCAGCTTTTCCAAGATCAACACCACATATATCAGACAGCCTCACAAGGTAAAGCAACACATCAGAGAGTTCTTCACCAAGATGAACTTTCTCTTCTTCTTTCCAATCTGGAAGACCCTTCGGAACCTCGCCTTTCCACTGGAATATCTCAGAAAGTTCGCCCACTTCACCCACCTGTAAAATCAAATCCAGAATCTTTTCATAGTACCCAAATACTTTATGCAGAGAGAGAGAGAGAGATAGAGAGACCCACATTTTAGAATTATCATGGGGTCAAGGAAAGAAGAAAGCACGAGGCAAGAAGAACATAATAAATGATGGAGGAGCAAAAGTGAAACAGGAAAAGTGAAAGAGGGGGAACAGAGTTCTGGGTGACTTGTGATAACAAACAAAAAGGAATCTGTTCGCAAAGTTGATTTTGACTATGGACTCGGCAACTTTCGATCTTCAGACCAACGCGAATAAGAAAAACCTTGGGAATTAAGAAAGTACTAAGTACTGTTCCTCAAATATATATATATATACACATACATATATATATACATATATATATATATATATATATTAAAACTGAACCAACTTGCGAGGAAACGTCCAGAAGCCTGAATAAAATAAATATTACAATGAACCATAGATGAGAAAGCTTCAAAATCACTTAGCATCTCTCTCAATCTCACTCATATCACATAAGAATCAGTTAGGTCAGGTCAATCATAAACCACCACCAAGTTATCAAAGTGGAGAAAACAAGAAAAAAATAATATATAAGCAACAATAACAAAGCATCCTCGCTTTGTTTCGGCAGAAATCGGCCAAAAACACAGAAACTAAAAATAGATAAATCTCAGAATCAACAAGGCAAACAAATAAAGCGCATAAAATCAAGGTGCAACTAAAACCAGAGAGAAAGTTACAATCTTTGTGGGGTCTGAGAATGACAGAAACATACCAGAGCAAGGAGGAGGTTCCTGGGGCTGTGAAACCGTTCCCAATCTCTCTCCTTCGCAAACTCAGCCATCTTATGCTTAAGCAGATCAAGGGTTACAGATTCAGACCCTCCTTCAGGAACCCCGGTCATGTTGCCAAGTGAAAATCTTTGGCGATAAAGAGAAAGAACAAATCGAGACCCAGAGGCAGAAAACAAAAGAATACACGATACAGAGCGTGTGACGCAGAGGAGAAGAGCGTGAGCAATGGGGTATTGAAAGGTCGCTGCGTAGACGAAGAGGACCGAGAAAGGAACAAAAGCGAAGAGGAGAGAAAAAGAGAGGAGAGTAATGGCGTTTGCGTTGGCGTCTTCTGAACAGTCGCTTTTTGTTATTCACTTGTTTGTAGAAATGGAAAGTGATCAAAAGACGTGGGTGGGGTCCATTAGAAGGACGGTGACCGGTGACCGGGAAATGGAGGTGTTGAATCAGGGACGAGGAAAGGAAAGCGACGTGGAGGAAAGAAGGGGGGTCATACACGTGTCGGTTTGTGGAGACTTGCGCCTTGATACTTGCTCAGTGTCGTCCGGCCTTCGCAGCGGCCTGTGAGCACTACTTGTACCTATCGAAACACGTATCGATCGGAAACGCATCAATATTTTTTTCAATATAATACTTATATAATTTTTTAATATAAAATTTATACAAAATATAAAATATTGTGTCGCGTCTTTCCTGCTTTATTTCCTTCTATTAAACTCAATCTGAACAATCTTGTTAGTAGGTTATTTGTCATTTTGATTCATTATCTGATACTATAATTTATTTTAATAAAATTTGAAGTTTGATTATTGTAAAATTCTCATGCGTCAGATTAGAATGATTGAATGTGAAATTTATTTTCAATGTGAATTTTGTTTTGAATAACTAAAATTATTTTTATTAGTCTAGTAATAAAAAAATCCATTCATTCATGTACAATAAATTGCAAATCAACCTCATACATGTTACTTTAATTAGATACACAATGGAGTAAATAATTAAATATCATACCAAAAATGGAAATGGTGCATGTTATTGCTATGAATTTGTATAAATGTCATTTAATGTTTTGTAATTTGACTTGATTTGGATTGCTTTTTTTGGCTGCTTGTTAAAAAAAAAATCAGTTACTTTTACTCTACCATTATGAGAAGTTATTCTTGAAGAAATATTTAAATAGACTGAGTATATCACGTTATTAGTAATTTGTTCAATAAAATTATGATATTTAGATAATATTAAATATAAATTAGTTTTGATATTAATGATGAGGGAGAGGGAAGGTAAGAATTTAAATATGCATTATGTTATAAAAATGAAATCAATTAAAAAATATCATATAAAATTTTATTTAAATTATTAAAAATATTTTAATTGAGCAAATTATAAATGACATTGTGTAATCGATTTACCTAAATATTTCGCGCTCCTCCTACCTGAAAATACAAGTTCATCATGTTCATTATGTAAGATTTAAATATTTTGGCAAAAAAAAAAAGAATATTTAAATATAAGCTTTTAAACCTTACGATGATCCTAGAAATATCATTTCTTTTATTTCTTTGTGTCATTTTGTATTAGGTTTAAATATTTTTTTATTATTTTTCTTATTTGTATTTTGTTCTTTGTGCTTGGTTTATCTTTGTAAACTCTTTAATTTTTAATGATATTTCATGTTTTCTGGCAAAAATAACTTTTATAGGAAATAACAATAATAATTTTAGCTTAGCATACTATAATGTGTTATAAGAGAAAAGTACTATTTTTTTCATTCAAAAATGTAAGATGTTTTTTAAAAATTTAGATATTAAAAAAAATGTAAAACATGTTCAGTGTTTTGAGGTGTAATTAATGTACTTTTATTAAAAGTGTTTTTAATAAATAAGTCACCTATCATTTGTTTTAAAGAAAAATACCTTAGTAAATAAGGTCGAATATGAAAAGATAATATTAGCTAATAAACAATTAACTATCCTCTCCGTTTTAAATTATAGAATATTTTTAAAGAAGTTTCTTTATTTTAAAATATAAAACACTATAAGTAAGTTAATATTTCATTAAAGGCATCAATTTTAATATTATCCTTTCTCTTTTCATAATTAATTTTCATCTATTTTTTTAATATATTAAATAATAGATATTTTTAAAAGCTTATATTTTTATTTTAAAAAGATAAAGTTATTAAGTGTATTTAATGAGGTTCATTAGTGTATTGGATTTTGTTTTAAAATAACTTATAATTTGGGAGAGTGGGAATATTTCTTAATCAAATTATGACAAATGAATTGTTTTGATTGCACTCTGTTGACTTTTTATTAAAAATAATTTTATTTAAAGTATGATTGGACGCTAAAAACAAGTATTTCTCTCAGTGTTAGAATTCGAATCTTATTTCATAAGGCAAATGAATCTTTTAATACTTATTTTTACTACTAACAATTTTAATTTATTCGTTCTATTCGATTAAAAAAATACTTTAAATATGTAAGTGCAATATATTAATTTAATAATTTAGATTATTGAACAAACTGGTATTATTATTTTGGTGGTTAAATATATTCCAACCCAACACAAATCCTTTTGTTCCTTTTTTTTTTTTGACTGAAATATTTTATTCCCATTGTTGTCATCTTGATTAATTTTGACTCTCTCACACACACGATCGTACGAGGATATTTATATAGATATTATTTTGAGAGAACCAAATTAAGAGATGACTAATATTTTAGAAATTATTAATTAAAACTTTATTTTAATGTAATAAATTAAAAAATATCAAAATTTTATATCATTAATTTACTACAAAATTATAATCATTAATTATAACACAGTCAATTTGACAATCTTGATTCATTCACGAGCAGAGTTAGGTCGATTCACAAGTTAACCAAATTTAGTCAAATGAATTTGCCAAATAAACGTACTTATAGGGAAGTTCAGCCCCTGAGGTCAGAAAAATGGTTACTAGTTTAGCACATGATTTTTCTATTCTTGTTAAATATAAAAATAATTAAAAACACAGACACGTAATAAACGTTTAAAATTATTTAATAGTGACTAATATTTCATTATTTTAATGCTCAAATGATAATTGAAGGTGAAATTTCGAAGTACCTAATACGTGAAAAACTGTATTCAACACCCCCTTCAAATTATGATTTCTAATTTAAATGTTTATTATGTGTTTTGGTGTTTACAGTATGATTTTGACAACTTTTTTGGTGTATATAAACGGAAAATGATTGATGCGTCCAAAAAAAAAAAAAAAGGAACACATGCCATCCATAGTGACGAAATTCACATCTGTGAAATGTTAACTTATTAATTTAAATTGATTTTTCAAATATTTGTAAGGTAAGAAAAGCTAAAAAAAATTGGGAATTAATAAAAAATTGGTTTCTCATAAGTTATAGTTCAGTTGATAGGCAGAATGAAAAAAACGAAAAAAAAATGGATATTAAATACATTTATATTATTTGTTTAAAATAAAAAGATAAAAATACTAATAATAATTATATGGATATAATTGACATTGCATTTTTTTTTTCCTATTTCATTTCCACCATGAACCAAACGGTTCTGAATATATCAAATTCAAATGTTAGCTTGAGGACTTGATGTTGAGTTTCACCATACAGAGATACGAATCACATTATTCAAATGAAAAATATAAAAATTGCAAGCCTATTGTTACAAATATTTTTTTGTTTTCAAGATATGAAAATGAAAGGACATTACTGAATTCATCTGAATCATTCGCACAACTCCAAAAGTTCAAGACGGATTTTTTTTTTTTTAACAATTGGACCTACGTGGACATCAATATTTTCTTATAAGGCTAGTCAGATTTGAGTATTATTGAACTAGTGATTTTTTTAGACATTTTCTACATTTGCACATATTAGAATATGGAACCTGTTGCTTAAGCTTGTGGAACCACGACCTCTTCTATAAGAACCAACACCTATACATCAATATTAATACATGGTATATAAAATATATAAAAAGTTGTACTACTCATCTCAAATTCATGTATAATAAAAAAAAAGTATAGTTAGAATCCAAAACTAACACTATTTTTTTAGAATTTAAATTATGCAGTACATAATAATTTTTAATTTTCAAAAATTTAAATTTTTATAAATGACTATATGTCACTAATTATGTTTGCATGCACCTATTAATTAATTAGTTCATCATTTTATTAGCAAAACACAAGTTGTTAAAATTGTTTGTATATATTATTACAATTGTTAACATTGTTACAATTCAATCCATTAAGTTACCCAACTTGATTCCTCACAGTTTAGCTGCTTGATCTGTTAATCACCAGTCCCTACACTCACAAAACTCATAGTTTTTCAGGGATTAAATTCTAACCGAAATATAAAATGTAAGGACTAATAGATTAAATAGATGAAATTTGAGATGAAGTTAAATTTTAGGAACTTAGTCAATCAAAACTATATGGATTAGATGAGTACTCCCTCTCCTTCAATTAACAAGGTATAGATCGAATATCTTTTTTTAAATCCTATCTATAAGACGTGTTATTGATTTCTTATTACAAATTTATCCTTTTACCTCTCATTAAACGTTAATAAAAGAAAGTATATTATTAAAGTATTAATGAATTTTAATACTTCCTTAATTCTAAGAAAATATATTAGAAATAACTTATAAATGAGGTATAGTTAGGGTGGAGCCAATATTTAATAATAAGAAGAGTTAAAATTGAAAAAATATATATACTATAAAGTATTAATGAATTTTGGGAGCAAAATATATATATATAAAACATTTATATAATATTAAAAAAATTAAAAATGCAAAAAATCATGCTGAAAATATATGGCATCTATAAATTAAAAGTCATTTATGAATTACTGAATTATTTATTTAAAAGTTAGATAGGAATATATTCTACATAGATGTTCGAGAATTTCACACTTGTTCCTCTCATTATGCTTACACTTATCAAATCAATCCGTATCTTTGAGTGTGAGTTTCTTTTCTTAATCGCATTTTTTTTCATTGCACAAGTTACTGAAAAAGGAAAAGTTTTATATAGGCTAATGCGCACCGCATCGAGGAAAATACTTTAAACATACTTAATGTTCTTTAGCTTTATGTATTGAATAAATTATACACACAATTCCGATTTCAATCTTAGATTCGAATCCTATAATGTACTATTCAAATTAGAGTTAGTCCAGTACATATAAAATATTATAGGTTAAAATAATCTCTAAACTATAGAACTAGGGTACTTGGAAATATTATAGGTTAAAATAATCTCTAAATTATAGAACTAGGGTACTTGGAATTCCTTTGTTTTTTTTTTGTGCAGTTTCA